ATTTAACAAAACAGGGCACATAAAAAGTCTCAAGTTGTGCTTTATATATAAAATGCTGGAATATCAGAATCATTTGTGAAAATTTTGAAGTTAGCAACGTGGATGTACATCTAAGATGTTGCTAACACTAAGAGAAATTTGAGGTGTTATGTTACTGCACCAAAAACCTCTGCTTGTTAATTAGTGGCTAGCAAGTGATATTTTTGGTATTTTACATTTATTTTATATGATAGTTTTTTATATATTGCTACTTTCCTGAGTTTGAAAATTAGTTTTATTTAGTAAATCAGTGAGAAGGGGGGAGGGTTGAGTGGTATGTAATAAGTCATTTTAAAACATTGAAGAACAGGTTCCTGTTGAACATTTTTGTTCAACATTTTTGCAGAACATCCAATGCCTTTTCTTTTCACCATCCTTTAGGAATACCCATGATTTGGATGTTTGTGTGTTTAAGGTTATCTAGTATCTCTTAGATTTTCTTCAGTTTTTTAAATTCTTTTTTCTTTTTGGTCTGCCTGAGTTATTTCAAAGAGATAATCTTCAAGATCAGAAATTCTTTCTTCTTGTTCTAGCCTGCTACTTAAGCTCTCAGTTGTGTGTTTTATGTCATTGAATGACTCCTTCAGTTCCACTGAGTTATGCTACATTCTTTTTTATAAAGTATTAATCTCTTTGTAGATTTTCTCCTTCATATCCTGGATACTTTTGCTCAGTTCATTGTGTTGTCTAACTGTGTCTTTTTGTATCTCATTGATTTTCCTTAAGATTTTTACTTGGAATTCCTTTTCAGTCATTTCAAGTGTTTCCTGCTTCTGGCTCTTCAGAATTATTGTATTCCTTTCATGGACTCATATTTTCTTATTTTTTCATATTTTTAGTATCTGTGTTGATGTCTGGTCATTTGGTCAGCATTTGCTTTTTGTTACTCTCCTTCCCTGGTCTCAGCTGGTGACCCTCCTTGTTCCGTTCAGTCAAGTGGTTGGCAGTCCGCCTACACAGCGTCAGCGGCAGTGGTGGCAGGCTACTTGCAAAACGGTGGTGGCTGTCTGGCGGCACCAGTAGTGGCAGCTACTGCAGCAGGGATGCTTGCAGCAGCCGTCCACTTGGCTGTGGTGTCCACAGCCACAGCTGGATTAACTTGTTGCAGCATCGGCTGAAACTGCCTCCCTGCCATCTGTGCTGTCCTTGGTGGTGGTGGGGTTACCTCATGGGATGGCAATGGCAGCAGCAGCTGCAACAGCTTCACTTACATCTGCAGTGCCCTTGGCAGCCATGGTGTTGACTTGTGGTAGTGGCAATGGTGGTTGCAGCCCCCTCTCTTGTATTTGTGGAGTCTACTATTACAGTAACATGGATTAACTTGTTGCAGCATCGGCTGAAACTGCCTCCCTGCCATCTGTGCTGTCCTTGGTGGTGGTGGGGTTACCTCATGGGATGGCAATGGCAGCAGCAGCTGCAACAGCTTCACTTACATCTGCAGTGCCCTTGGCAGCCATGGTGTTGACTTGTGGCAGTGGCAATGGTGGTTGCAGCCGCCTCTCTTGTATGTGTGGAGTCCACCATTACAGAGACAGGCCACCCGCAGGATTGCTGTTCTGCAGGCAGGGAGCTGTTCTGCTTTGGGCGATGGTTCTGGGACTAGACAATGGCTCTGTCAACTGCAGTGGAAGTGGCAGTGGGCCTGTGTCGATCTTCTGTGGAAGAAATGCACCATGGGCACCTCTAAGCTGCCTTCGTCCTGGAAATCCCCAGTACCTCCCCATTTTACACAGAGAAAAATCCAGTCTCCATTCATTGTCCCAGAAGAACTTCTCCATTTTTTCTTTTCTTATGTCTTTGTAACAGATCATAATGTATGATCTATGAAATTAAAGTATACATTTTTCGGTAATGCTTCACATTTCCTAACTTACTTTTAAAAGTATGTAAGTTTTTAATATTCCTCTTAATGAAAGCAAGATCATTGAGTTGCATATGATTTTTAAATTCTTTCTGTGGTAAATGGCCCTCACAAGACAGACACCCCTATTTAAAGAGTATATATGTCTTCATCTCTGAAATGAAGATAATGTTATCTATCAGTAATACCTACATGCCTCAAGTAGTCTTTCTGTTGGATTTTTCATTAGCTCATTTTTTGTCCCCTGTATGTTCATTAATCCATATTCTTTTTCCTTTCCTACCGTATCCCCTTAGGCCTAAATTTGTCTATCTTTGAATAAATAGCTTTTCTAGCCACTGGAAAAAAAAAAAACCTCTGTCTTTTTTCTCATCATACCTTTACATATGCACAGACACTTCCATTCACCTCAAATATGCTGTGATGATTGGTAATGTTGTTTAAGGACAGATGATTGAATGATTTATTTATGAATTTGCAAGAAAATTTTAAATAAAAATTATTCCTAGAAAAATAAAGCTCAAAGTAAAGTATTTTTGTTAAGAGCCATCTCTGAGAGTGGGGTGGGATGGTGGGGGAGATTACTGTGTGATTAGTCTAAATTTAATTTTTTTAATGGAAGCTAACATTTTAAATAAATTTACTTTTCTCCCATTCTATAGCATATGTGTCAGTTTTCCCTAATAACTTTTTTACATATATGTATATCACCCAACTAAATATTTAATATGTTTAAGTATTTCTTCATAGCATGTTTCTCAAACAT